TGGCCGCTAGTATTTATTGTGCAGCACAGTAATCCCAACGCGGCTTAGCTTTCTTCTGACCGACATAGTGCTTGTGTGCCTGTCGGGATGCTCTTAGGGTTGGTTAGTGCGCGGAGCCAGATACTTTCAAGTAAGTATTCCACGACCAAGTGCGTACGTTTGGATTGCTGTAGAGCAGGCCGGATTAACTTGCGGCAGTACCGTTCGTGGGTGGAAGGTTCATCCCAGCTTTGCACGTTTGATTCGGACAGAGTAGCGGGAAAGTAACTACGGGGCAACGGAGCCAGAGGACTATCTACCGTATACTGTATGGCTTAGCCTGTTGAACGGTGAGGCTTACCTGCTGACCGCTAACGCTGTTGCTGTCTGCTGCGGACTGTGCATAGACTACTGTTGCGGGCTGCTGATTGGTTGTGTATGGGCTGCGTACTGCGCGCAAGCTGCTATTTCTGCCTGCTGTTGATTACTGCATATTGCGGCGTGCAGCTACGAGTCGCTGAAGACTGCGGCGGAGGACTGTTGTTGCTGGCAGCCGCTACTGTTGCTGTTGACCGCCGTCGTGTACTACTGCTGCGTCTACGTATTGTGTGTGGAGGTTGCTGCTGCTGCGGACTGAAAACGGACTACTGCCGCTACTGTTGTTGCTGATCGCCGCTGTGTACTACTGCTGTGTTTCGTGGTTGGGCAAGAACAATTGTCGTTGTTTTTGACTGTGCACAACTGCTATTTTTATTGGCCATGCACGAACTACAGTTGCGTACGTGTGTGAACTGTTGCTGCGTCTAAGGACTTTTACAAGCTGCTGTGCGGCTGCAACTGGCCCGAGGAGAGGAATTGAGACTTGGAGAGGTGGTCAGATTGGGCAAGTAGGGGGTTAGTGCTGCAATTTGGGAGATCGTCAGGGGATTGATTTCGGCAGTTCGACGTCAACGAGCTGTTACATTGGTTCCCATTGCGGGACCCTCAGGCGAATGAAGGTATCAAGGCCCTCTCCTAAGAGTTGAGTTGTTCCCTTCTTGTATCTCGAGAGTCTGAAACCCCTGTGTTCTGCCTTTCTTACTCTAAGTCTAATCCAGTTCTGAGAGGAAGGCGGCAGGCGGGATTGCAACCCGTAGGACCGCATCAAGACTCTGTCGGTAGTCAACCCACCGATTGCGGGAACTCTGTCGGAACTCAGGAGGAGTTCTGGAGGCAGGGAACCGAGAGGTAATTGTTGTTTTTCATCTATAAACCCAGTTATAGCCCATACCTGTATTCCTTTTTTATACTTTGACTGAATATACTGCATGCCCCTCTACTTTGACCTTCAGTTTGACTTTCAGGATACAAACCAGACTTAGTAAAGGAACGCATGTATAATGTCAAGTTTCAGCTTTTTTGTTTTGACTGAAAGCAGATTGTGGGGTTGCATATGGGGGAAGGGTGGGAGAAAGGTTGTATTGCATGTGTTTGGCTGAGTCAACCAAAGGCTGAGCCAATTTCATAAGTTTGGGAAAACCCTGTGCTATGTTTATTTTTGGATTGCCTGGAGGAATAGCCATGTTCCACAAGTTTGGGTGGTCTGGTTGCTCTGACTTGTGAGGGCCGACTGTGGCTGACTTTTCAGGGACCAAGCATGTTCCATAAGTTTGGGTGGCTTGGTCGCCTTGTTTACTTTGGGTTTGGTCTTGGTACAGCGCCTCACACATGCTGGAACCAGAAGGTTATAACTTGGCTATACTCTATTATTATATTATTTATGAACATGCTAGTCAGACAGGGTTCCATAAGTTTGGGTGGTCTGACTGTAGTTTATCACCAACTGTAGCGAGTATTAATTAAGAATAAAACTTGTGGTACGAAGGGGTAGACTAAGTCTTGAGCTGAAGATGATCGGCTCAGTTATATGCTACCTCAAAAGACTAAGTGCAGACAATTATATAAATTATGGATGCTTAAACAGTTCAGGGCGGCTAGGGTGGCCTAGTCACATGCCCAAAGAAGAGAAAAATTGTTGTGCCCTTTGTTTGTGTATACTTCATGGCTGGGCTAGACATGTTCCATAAGTTTGGGTGGTCAAGCTTTATGCCCTATGTAAGTTGGGTATAAGGGGATAAATCATTGAAAGACTATGAACTATTGTTTGCTAAATTGATTTGGGGATGGTGAGAGTACTTACCTTTGTGGTTTGGCTTGCATGTGACTGAGTGATGCCATTACTTAGTCTGAGTTTCATTTGATAGGTAGTTGCTTTAGTTGCTCGCCACGTGCTAGAGCCATAAGAGTTAATTTCAATTCCTGCATTTTCTGAGCTGAGATTTTTTTTACTTAGATCAATTTCTGCATTTTTTGGGATCTTTTGTTGTACTTTGGTCTAGTATAAATCTTGGTAAGCCACTTTCTCTACGGGAAGCGCTGCCGAAATTTCTACAAAACCAAGGAGTTAGTCAAAACTTTGTCTTTTTTTAGGATCTAGTCCTTTTTTACTTTTTGACTTAGTAAAAATCTGGAAGATAATCGACACTAGCAATTGATATGGTGCACGATCAACGATTGACGTTTGTCACAGACGGTCGCACGCGATCGAAACCCACAGAGCGAAACCCACTGAGCACAGGTTGTAAATCGGACCTACATGTAGTCGGTCCCGAACCCAGGGGCCATGGTTCCAATGTTAAAGGATGTCCCAAAGGACGGTTCCCCTTTTTTTGGCACACAGGCGATTTCCTAGCTCGCCAAGGGTAGGGTGGAAAGCACTAAGGGCCTCGCCACACCAGTGTCAAAACGGTGAAATATTCGACAACTGTCAGACCATTTTCGACATTCACCGTTTCGACACAATGGCCGCCTTCGCCACACCGTAGTTTCGTTTTTAGAAAAGGGAAAAACAAAAAAAACAAAAAAAAAAAAGAACAAAAAAAGAAGAAGAAGAAGACACGGGAGCTTGAGGCATAGATGTCGAAATCAACACATCCTTCAACACCTCGTCTCCGGGATGTCGAAACTCGACCCGCTGCAGGTGGGCCGTTCGACACCCATGTTGAAACCACTTTTTTGACGATTGTCGAAGTGCTTTTGACATTTTTTCTTTGACAGTTTGTGTGGCGAAGAAAAAATGTCGAAAACTGTAGTTTCGACATTGGTAAGGGCCTCGCCACACCACTCACGAAATGTGCAAAAGACAAAAATTTGGCGGGCGCATCTGGCCATATTCTAGCGGGAAGTTCATTCTCAATTTGCACATTTTGAGAGTGGTGTGGCGATTCCCTAATGGTGCAGAAACAACTGGAACCTGCTTTAGAAACAACAAAGCCGGCTCAGGGCCTAGTTGCACTACTCTCCATAGGCCAAGTTTGGCGAGTAGGTGCCTGGTTGCACTTAGGGCCTCGCCACACCAATGTCGAAACATCACGAAATTCGACATATGTCAGGAAATTTTCGACATTCCCTCTTTCGACAGAAAAACCCTCTTCACCACACAACACGTCGAAGTGAAGAACTCACAAGTCCTATGCACAAAAGAGACAAACTGGGGTGAAGATAGGACAAGCGTTGGTGAGTTCTCTTTTTCGACATTCGGGCAAGAATTCGACATCCCATCCGAGGACTGTTGAAAATGGGCCTCGCCACACCTATCCCGAAAACGGGAAAATGTTCGAGAGGGCTCTCGAACTTGGGAAATCGCGAAAAACGGTTCGAGAGGCCTTATAGCCGCACTGCGCTCTCGAAGGGGGCGCTCTCCACTGTGTCAGAAAAGAACGACATTTTTCGAGAGTGCAGTGTGGCGGTGCAAGGGCCTTGCTCCACTACTCACCAAATGTGCAAAATGAGAATGAATCTTCTGGTAGACCATGGAAAGATACACCACCATATCTTTTGTCTTTTGTGCATGTGGTGAGTGGTGGACCCGAGGCCTTCTCTCGAACCAAACATCACAAAACGCTTGTCCCTCGCAGGCCGAAATCGGGTTCGCCTCGGAAGGCTCTCCAAAACGGCCTCTTTGCAGGCGGGCACTCCCCAAAGTTCAGGAGTGCTCTCTTCCACCCCTCTCCAACTTTTTCAAGACAATGGGTTTGGAGAGTAGGTGTGGCGATGCTTCGCTTCCGGAAAACCCCGTTTTCGGGATAGGTGTGGCGAGGCCCAATCTCCAAGTTGCAGGCCTGAAGTGGAAACGAGCCCTTCTCGAGAGGAGGTGTCGAAACCTTTTCCCTGACAGCTCCTGAATTTTTTTTGCATCTCGGATTTCGACATGCTGTGTGGCGAGGAGAAAATGTCGAACAAGGGTAGTGCACCTCTGCATCGAGGGCCTCGCCACACCACCGTCGAAATGAAAAACGAACGAATGCATCGTCCCGCGAAGGAGGGAAAGATGCGTCCGTCGAAATGAAAAACGAACGAATGCATCGTCCCGCGAAGGAGGGAAAGATGCGTCCGGTACTGTGAATAACAATGGATGCATCTTACCACTTTCTGCGGCAGATGCATTCCTTCTGTTTTCATTTCCACAGTGGTTTGGCGAGGCCCTTAGAATGTAGAGTACCGGGGGCCAGGTCCCACTAGCAGCCTTGAGTTTCCTCAAAGCCTGAATCTGGACGCGTTCGTGGAGATGTGCGGTTGAGAAAACTCAACGCGATTTCTGCACGTATCCACAGACTCGTCCAGATTCAGGCTTTGAAGAAACTCAACGCTGCTAGTGGGACCTGGCCCCGTAGGGTAGCCCATACCCTCACACTAGAACTTGGTCTGGACTCGCCGTCCGTTTCTAACGGGAATTGCGGTCGCATACCATCCTGGAAAGATTCCTGCAGTCTCTCCGTGAATAGAGCACAATGGTCATTATACAGCTGAATGTGGCGCGCTTTTGACAAAAGACTAGAGCGAATTTGGCGCGCTTTTGACAAAAGACGAGAGCGATAATGTCCATTCGTATTCGATTCGTATTCGAATAGAAAAAAAAAAAGAAGAAACAGACCATGCGTTCTATTCGGGAACATACGTGGTGATCTACCCCGTGTTAGACGTAATGACAGTGACAAGTGACTGAATATTCAAAGACACTGCATTTGTTTTAGATAAGGTCGGCAATAAATGCCACGTGGACATAATCATGCCCTCTCTATGGACGACCCTCTATCGGCAATGCTCTTCAGCCGCATGACAAAAAAAGGCCAAATGGTTGGTACCAGGGGAGGGCTGTTGCCGGCTGAGAACGGATGAGCAACGAATAGGGAAGTTGGTACTGAGTCCTATGGATAAGGTTGTGGATAAGGTTATGGATAAGGTTATGGATAAGGCTATGATTATGGACAAGGCTATGATTATGGACACCCTGAGGGCGGAATCGTCGCCATCATGCCGTAAGTGAACACGACCGCCGCATCCCCTTCCCCTCCCCTCTCCCTCCGCCTTCCCACCCTCTCCAATGGGTCAGTCTCCTCCGACATCCACATTTTATTTATTTATTTTAATTAATTACTTTTTAAGTATTTTTTCGGCTCTACCCCCTGCCCTGTCTCTTCCAGTTGTCATGGATCTCTATCTTTACCAATTGTCACATATTTTATTTTCCTCCTCTCTCTCTCTCTCTCTCTCTCTCTCTCTCTCTCTCTCTCTCTCTCTCTCTCTTCATTTTTAAAACGTGGTTGCGAAGTTGCTCCAAAACTTTTTTCAGACGCCGGAGTTTGTTTCTCCCTTTGTCATTCAGATTCCATTCACCGCCGGAAAAAAAAGGAAAAGGAGAGAACAAAAAACAAAAAGCAAAAAGCAAAAATAATAAAGTGAATGCGTAAGGCCACACTGTACGCGCACCTTCTGCCTCATGTATGGCGACGCCATGACCTCGCGACCTCACCCCTGCCCTTATTTCCATTTTCCTCTCCCCTCTCCCCTCTCCCTCTCCCTCTTCCCAACTCTCCAGAACTCACAAACTCCATAGCCGACTGTATTCTCTCTCTCTGTGGAAGGGATGGAGGAAGGATGATGTCTTGTGGGCAGTTGGATAACACACGCGCACACGGATCGATATGAAGGTTGATGGCTGTTCAACATTCCCCCCTGTGCTCATGTACCCAACGGCTCAGATCAGTCCAAATTCACGCGCACACGGATGGTGAGCTTGGTGGGTGATGCGCATTCTGAACCACGGCCTAGGTCGATCCCGATAGGCTGGCCAAGAACATTCCCTCTCTCTCGATGTGTATGCTCGTCCCCTTTGATTTTTTTTATTTTTTATTTTTATTTTTATTTTTTTTTGTGTGTGTGTGTGTGTGTGTGTAGGGGGGACGGGGGGGGAGGGGTGGTCATGTTCCCTATGCACAACTCCACAAAGAAAAGCATGACTGTGCCGAACAGACTGTTTCGTCGGACTTTCTTTCTTTCTTTCTTTCTTCTTCTTCTTCTTCTTCTTCTTCTTCTTCTTTTTTTTTTTTTTTTTTCCGAAAGATCCATGTGGTAGTAGCCCACTACCGTAGTCAGGAGGTTGAACCCCGATAGTCTGCCCTGGATGCACTTGGCTGATGAAAGTAAGGACTCACCACATTGCCCAGCGCTAGCGATACCCCTGAGAAAAGTGGTCGGCTATACGCACACCAACTCTCTGTCCTCTGTGTGTGTGTGTGTGTGTGTGTGTGTGTGTGTGTGTGTGTGTGTGTGTGTG